CTATCGTCGGTAACAGTCACATCAGTGGTAGTAACTTCATCAAGAGCTTCACTGTTTCCCTTCTCAAAACTGAAGAGAGTTTCTTTTTTTCGACAGTGGCTTTTTCAGGTGACACGTCTTCAGCAGCATCATTTGTTCTGGTGTTCACTTCGTCCCACTGAAATGTCCTGGACCGTGATAATGCCAAAGCCTGTTGGCATGCACCACTTTCGGCTTGCCTCGCTGACCACATTTGATTCGGAAAGTCACATATGAGAGACAATCCACTATGTCATATGGAGAAGACAACTTAGGAGACTTCCCTTCTGGGATTATACAACCACATCTTGTCTCCTGGTTCAAAGCTGACTTCAGTAGATCTCTTATCATAAGATAACTTCATCGAATCAGCAGACGTTTTCAAGTTTGAACGCACTTGATGGTGAATATCATTCATCCTTTCCGATAAACTTCCACATTACAAAAACCTTAAACACAGAAATGCAAGAAAAATAACATATTAGCATATAATTTTTTTAAAAGTTCGAATAAATGCCATTATCATTAATAACTAACCACCACTTGACTAAGCTTTCAACAGTAGCTAAGGAGGAAATTAGTTAATTTATTTGATTTGTCATTAGACTCTATTATTAGTCTATTATATTTTTTAACACTGCATTATATATTTATTCCCTTAGGAATTGAGCCCGACATGGCCAGGGCGCTCGACTCGCAATTTGCGGGTCGCGGGTTCGAATCCCCGTCACACCAAACATGCTCGCCCTTTCAGCCGTGAGAGCGTTATAATGTGACAGTCAGTCCCACTATTCGTTGGTAAAAGAGTAGCCCAAGAGTTGGCGGTGGGTGGTAATGACTAGCTGCCTTCCCTGTAGTCTTACACTGCTAAAGTAGGGACGGCTAGCGCAGATAGCCCTCGTGTAGCTTTGCGCGAAATTCATAACAAACAAACCCTTAGGAATTTTCAAGAATTAGAAGAGTGCATGATAATAGCATTCCAACCACACTATGTTGGACGTATTCATTGCCGACGGCGCCCGGCATGGCCAGGTGGTTAGGACGCTCGACTCGCAATCTGCGGGTCGCGGGTTCGCATCCCCATCTCACCAAACATGCTCGTCCTTTCAGCCGTGGGGGTGTTATAATGTGACAGTCAATCCCACTATTCGTTGGTAAAAGAATAGCCCAAGAGTTGGCGGTGGGTGGTGATGACTAGCTGCCTTCCCTCTAGTCTTACACTGCTAAATTAGGGACGGCTAGCGCAGATAGCTCTCGTGTAGCTTTGCGCGAAATTCAAAACAAACAAACAATCATTGCCGACGATGCGTTTCACTCAGCCCAGACCTCTCAGGGCGGCTGGAATATAAGAAACACAGTAATAGTAAAAAAACAAAAACTATTTACACTTGTTACAATAACAATTTTTTATGGTGTGAACATCTTGTTCAAGCCGGCAAAACATGATTATAATTAATTTATTTGTCATTTATTTTTCTATATATATATAGTCATGTCTTAAAAACATTACTGGCAATTTGACAAACATTTACATATATAAAAACCCAAGAATATAGTTTATATATTGCTGTATTAGTTTCTTCGATTTCTGAAACTCCACTCTGCACATAAGAAATAGGATTTTTCAGATTTAGTTACTGTCCTGTAGAGGGATCGCATTTGCTCTGGAGGTCGTCAACTCTAAAATGTACTAAAAAGGTATAAGCTTGTAGTTTTCATAGATTAAACAAATATGATCAATGGTTCTAGTATATGTAGTAGGTTAATGCATGTTTACATCTCCTCAGCTAAAATAGCAAGTTTTAGACAAATTACAGGCAGATTGTGAGTGTTTTACAATATCTATACTTTTAAAAGTTTACATTAAATAACAGTTTTATAATGAATAAGATTTAAAATTTTAAATTTAAGCTACACTAACTTCGTGACAAAGGCGGAAAGGAACTCAAACAGGCTACTACCACTAGCACTGTATTATATATTATTACTAGTGTATAAGTGTGAACATAGCCTATATCGACAATACTAATGACAGTTATAATATACTACTAGTACTAGGAATGAAAATAAACGTAATCGTGATTACCCTAAAATTAGGCTTAACAAAACAATTAGATCGACAAAATTTCCAATTTTTGCACACAGAAGGGATTTCTCGAGGTTTGTCTTGAAAATACCCCGCCGTTTCTGTGTGTTACTGCTACAGTTTTTGGGAGCAAGTTATTTGTATAAGAACTGTTTACCTTATTATTAAAGTTATAAAAAAAAAGTGATAAAGCCGAAGAAAGTACATCTTGAATGCCTATGCTTTTAGTTTTATGGTCTCATTTCAGTTTTTAACATTATTGATCCCACATTGTCACAAAATCTGATGGCCATATCAACATAAACAAATACTGTTGGGTGTCTAGGCCTTAAAATCCATTTCTAAAGCATACAGCTAGTAGCACTATGAGGTAATTAATAACAATTTTTGAAATTTATCTTTTTCAATAAGTAGGAATAGAAGGGTAGCTCAAGGCTAATCTTAGTCTTCTTCAAACCCAGTTATTGTGTGTTGCTAAGCAAAGTCTTCTTTGTAATAGTGTGGTAAATTTAGAGAGTCAGAGTTGTATCATTTAATGAAATTAATGCCAGTTTGTATATGTGAATTGGACCAGATCATGATGGTGAAGCATAAGGGGGGGGGGTACAGTTAGTGGTGCATTTCTTCAATAAAATTTATACTGAATTCCTAGTACACAAGGCAGGAAAAACGTTGTGATAGAATAAATATGAAACTTAGAATATATGATAACACTAATAATTTTAATGTTGAAATAAGGAGCATCAGTGTAACTTTACACTTCCCTCCCTCAACAATGTAGTTTAAAAAGTGACTGATAAAATGCATTCTCTTGTAAATTTTTTGTTATAGTTGAAGGGCCATATTTATTTTCTAATCAAACTGTTAGTGTTGCTCTGTTCAGTTTTTGTTGTTCATTTATTATTATATTTATGAGGTATATTTAATTAGTCAAAAAGGCTATGACTGTCAACCTGTTTGGAACAGTGACTATCAAATAAAGATTAGTTTTGCTTAAATTAGTAGTAGTTCTTTTAATTGGCCACAATAAGGTGCTCTTGCAATGCAAGCTTACTACATATAGCTGTATCTCATGTAGCATCAAATGTGTAGTTAAATAAAATGCATTTTTATTTTCTTTTAAAATAGAAAAACATGATCACTGTTTTGTATAATGCATTTTAGGCTATGTGTGAATAGTTTATTTGATTTATATGGGTTACCTGTCAAATAAAATGAAATATAAACTAGTAATTATGCAAATTAGCAGTTATGAAAGTTTGCACATTCATTTGGTAATGTATTCCAAATCTTTGAAGGTCAAAATCTATTCAGCTGTAATTAATTCCCTAACTAGTTGATGGAGAAAACTGCCCTTTATCAATTTTAAAATAACAATCACCCTTGCAGTTACTGTTAATATTTTTAAAGTTAAAATCTCCCATAATGAGAACCTTCTTATTGCAAGTATTTTTACACTAATTTTCCTGTAAGGTATCTGATAAAGAAGTTTCCTACCTCTAACCTCCAATTATTTATATGTACAAAGAGGCATTCATACTGTTTCCACATTTGCACAAGGCTAATATCTTTCATATCAATGGGCTGGAACTTTTCCTGAATGTAAAAAGCTCCCCTCTTAATAATTTTGCACTGTCAACAACTTTTTACCCAAGAATTATAAAATGATTTTTGTCATCATGTTTTCTAAGTCAAGCTAATTTTCAATAAATCTATAATGTCAGAATCTTCATCCTCAACTGAGGCCTTGAATTAATCCATTTTATTTGTTATACTTGTAATATTTGAATATTATTTAAGGTTATGCTTGTAATGTAAGAATTGTATAATTGAACTCTTAATATATAGGTTAATAGCCCATGCAAAAAAGTTAGCTTCTTTCTTATTCAGATGTGGATCATCCATTCCATAGAATTTTTTTCTTTCTCCAACAAATAATACAATAAATTCATCCCCCCCAACTCCCCCCCCAAAACCAACCAACAAACAAACAAACAAAAACAAATACAACATAGATTTCAACCTATCAGTATAGTCTTATTGATCTACTTGTAACTTTCTTATCAAAAGTAAATGTTGGCAAACTCACTAAAATCAGCCTATGATCTCCAGGCTTAAATGTCTTTATAAACTTCTTCTACTTCTCTAGTGGCTTTTGTGACCTTGTCCTTTACATCATTAACCCCCTTTATGTACTACTAAAGTAGTCTCCTTACTGACCTCTTTAATCATACTATCACTAGAGCCATACAGTTATTTCAGTTAAACAGCATAATCACTTACCCATGAACATCGATTTTATCAATTAGTGTTACATAAAATAATTAATTTTATTTATGATTAAATTGGTTAATGTCACGAAAATAATCAGCTAATCAGAATTAGTGTGTCTGATTATTCTAATTATCAAAGTAATGGAAATATTGCCATTATGATTTCTTGTTATTTTTTATTAATTGAAAGTTTTTCAAGCTTTATCAGTTGTAAGACTCATGAAAATAATGGACTAATTAAAAATTAATGTTTCTGGTTATTACTATTTTAAATTATTCCAACTATTCAATTCTCTTGAGAATAATCAGTTAATAGAATGTAAGTGATTAATGAGTCCCAAAACTAATCAGTCAGCAAATTCCATTAAATACCAAGCTCTTTCATCAATCCTCTGAACTATACCATCAACTCTATCTCCTGGATGTTACATGCTGATTATTCTCTCCAGTTTACATGTTAATCTATTCACATGTTTAACCAGGGGATCACCTACTATTACCACTTCATATTATGTGAATGTATTGCAATTTTCCTTACCTTCCTATCATTTTCTGTCTATCTGGTGTTAATATGCTAAACTACCCTGGACAGCAACTCTTCATATAGTTGTGCTAGGAAATTTATATGCTCTGAATTTACCACTGTCTTCTAGTTTTAGTTAATTTACAAGTAGAGTGAAATTCACAATATACAAGATGAGAATAGGATTATTTTATTATTTTTTACATCATTATTTTGTTTTTTGTAAAAAGCATAATATGAACTTTTAAATTAAAAGTAAATTTAGAACTCAAATGGGTTGGTCAAGCTGTGTGAACAATTAGTTCCTGCATATTTTGAATTTTACTTTATTTAATGTAACTAAAGTAAATTTCATGGAAAAAAAACAAAACAAAACAATTTATGGTTTGTCTTCAGCCTACCAACAACGAGGCTAGTGCAGCTTGCAGGACATCCAATGTGGCGTATTACAAATAAATAATACTGTCAGTTATTATACAAATAATTTATACATTTGTTAATAATATGCTATTATTTCCTAAGGATTGCACCATTTCACTTTATTTTGGAATCTTCTGACTACTAATAATTCAAGGTGATTTCATTTCTGTGCACTTTACACCATTACTGGCAGGGCTATATAATTCAAGGGATAAAATGTTAGAACAATCTACTTGCTTCTTCCTCATTCCACAAAACAAATAAAAAGGTAGATTGCCATTGGCCATTCAGTTTGGTGGGGAATGTTATATATGACATCTAGCATTTAAGTTTGTCATGTACCTTAAGATGTTACAGTTCAGCATGTAGAATATCTCAAGCACAAACTGATAAAAGAAACCATGGTTTACCTTAATACTGCCCCCAACTGAAATATTAAACAATTTATAGCTTTTTGTAATTTTTGTTGTGTTATATATTCTTACTAAGGCTGGAAATCAACTGGGCTTCTAATGTAAACAAAAGCAGTGTAATAATATCCGTGCATTAATATAAATGTTTGTTACTTGTGTATGACTGAGGGTTTGTGAATTAAAGGGCTATTTATGTTTATATACATAATTTTAATTTGAGGTTTAAAGGTAAGCATTTTTAAATATCCATGTGTATGTGCTAGACAGTTTGTAATTTTCAGGAACTTTCATGGTTCCCTAGAAATCTATCCAGATTGTATTTTAACAGTAGAATGAATGATGTGAAGGAAATCTATTCGTCCTATGGGCATAGTATAACTGTAAAATGTTTTGTCTCTCAGACAAATTTTGTTATTCTGGACCTTGGGCAGTATGAATTACATATCCCTGCTTGGGTTCAAGGATTTCCTTGGAATGGCTAGTGAAGATCTTTAGGCCCATTATGTGTTGTAGGATGGTATATTGTACTGAAAAATTCACATGTTCCTGAATTGATGTGGAAATGTCTTTTTGATTTGGAAACTCATTCAAAACTAGAAATTTACAGTGTACATGCTAGCCTGTAGCCTTAAAGAGACACTACTATTTGAAGTTCTTTTCCAATGCTCCAGAAGCTTTGTATAAGTCTGCTTGTAAGCCTGCCATCTTCAAGAGATACAGGGTAATAGGATGTAGAAAATAATCAGGACAGAGACCCAAAACCTTCTGGAAATCTGGAGGACAGGGGAGTGTAACTGAACCAAAGATTATTATATTCAAGTCTCTGATGAAAGGACAGTCACGTACTTATGCATCATGGTTTCTCTTCAAAAATAAAAACAACAGATGTGATGTTGATATTAGAGATATGATTTTGTTGTTTTTTTTCTTAATGGACACTAATGGATCACTCAGAGAGAAAATTAAAATGAACTTTACATATT